TGGGGGTGTGCCACACCCTATCACCCAGGAGTATCTGCAGACAAGGCTGTTTCATGTTCTTCTGGGCAGTCACCTAGGAAAGCCTGTCCGTGTTCCCTGGCTCCTGTGTCCTTGTGTGTGAGAACATCTGTTTTCCTTGCCTTGCTTGGCCTTAATCTCTCATTTGAAGGCAGCTGATGGAGAAGGAAATGGTGACACCCCTTCTCTCTTGATCATTTCTTTGCTTTCAATAATGAGTCATCAGGGCTGTGTGTGCTGAGGATTGACGAGTTTCAGTGACGGCAGTAGGGCCCGAAGGCCCTGGCGTGTCTCCTGGAGTAGTATGGAGTTCTGGACCTGAACGCTGGGTTTAAAAAAGAATGGTTTCCAGAGACCCCGAAACTCGCATCTTTCCCCAGTCACCCAGCACAGCAGAAGCCAGGATCCGGGAGAGACCACCTCCAAATGTGCAGTTTGAGCAGTAGGGCGGAGGGCAATACTCCAAGGCCCTCCATATACCAGCCGAGTTTCCAGTAGGTTCTATACGGATTCTACCGCTTCACCTCAAGAGAGGAGCTCAGTTGCTCCGTGAAAGATGAGGTCCATGCTTGTCTGGTGGCAGGGACAGGAAGGGTCATCAGAGTCCCATCGCTGTAGCCCAGTCACATCTTGTGGGTTTGCAGTTAGTGATACTCTGGCACCTGCGCACTAATCAGACTCCCCCCATCTCGGGCTGTCCTCCACCTGCCGCAAGGGGGCGTACATCTAGGAGAGCGGTACCTGGCAACCCAGTGCTAACTCTGCTCAGGATCACCACAGGACCGTTCTCTAAGCCACAGTGGTTGGGCAATGGCATCCGGGTCCTCAGGCATGGAGTTGTGGTCGCCTTTGCGCAACAACTGACTGTCTCCCTGGCTTAGGTGGTCCCAGTCTCCAAGACCTTGTTAGAGCAGAACCTGTCCTTTCCTCCCTGCTCCCTTTACAGGAGAGGTTGGCTCCTAGAGAAAGGGAAACTACAGAGAGGAACTCTGGAGCTAAGTTGAAGCCAGGAAGCAGGTGAGACGCAAGGTCAAGTCACCCTCCCTTCTCAGTAGCCAAGAGCCTCCTCAGAGGTCCTCCTCTGTTTTGAACCGTGATTGGTGGCGGTGGGCAAACTCCGAGGGTGTCGCGCCCGTGCGCGTCGCTCGCCACTAGGTGCCGCTGCGCACACGTGGATTGCGGCCCTGGGCTGCCTTGCCGGCTCCGCGAGAGAACTCTGGGGAGGATGCCAGAAAGGGATTTACCGTGATAATTTTAAAAAATGTTTTTAAGGTTTTAATTCTCCTTTTTGTTTTCCCACAGCCGCCCTAGCTTTCAGAGACCAGAGGGACTGGGATCACAGTTACAGAGCTAGAGAAACTTTGTAGCCAACCCTAGGTTGGTCCTCAGGACTCCTCACACAAGCCCGGGCCCCACTGGTGAACAGTGGGGCTCACCATGCTAGGGCACTACATGATCCTAACACTAAGGAAAATGTAAAGAATGCTGAAAGTGAGCCAAGCTCATCTATACCCAACGGCCTGTAAGACACTGATTCTGCCTTGTGTGATAACCACTCACTAGTCATCCCAGTCACCCCAGCCCCTAGAGCTGCACGATGTTATCCACCCACCCCAGATACCCCTGGATGCTAGCAGAGACCTGGCAGGAAAATCAACACAGCAGATGGGTATCACAGATTCCCAGAAACCTCTGCCCTTTGATACTTCTAGAGAGTCAAGAATCCAGGCTGCTCTCAGCCCCAGCACCTCCTGAGCGAAGTTCACGGCCTTTGAGGGGAACACGAGGGAGTATGGCAGGAGTAAAGTTAGTGTGAATGCCTTTGTACAGCTTCATTGATCATTCTGTGAAGCCCTGACTGGGGCCAGAAAACGACAGCAATATCCGGGAGAGGAGCTGGCTTTTATTAACGTTCATTATGTGCTAGACACTGTCCTAACAATTTGCTTTGCTTATCTCTTGCAACAATCCCAAATGCGACTGCATTATTATTTATTCCCATTTAGGGCAAGAGAAAAAAGAGGCAAAGAAGGTAGGTGGCTTGCTCAAGGTCACACAGTAAAGCTATGAATGCGATTAGATATGATTACAAATAGAAAAATTCACTTTGTACTGTACAGTTTTGAAAACGGGTTGTGTAATTATCTTCACTCTGATAAAGAACACTTTGATCATGCTGCCATCCAGAAACTTACCGGCCACTGCTACTGTCTGCTTCCTAGACACAAGGGCTGTATTTTACATACAACAAAATGAGGTCAGGGGAGATTGAGATGTTGACCCAGGTCGTTCAGTAAGAGACAAATATATGATCTTGATCACATGTGTCTTCTATTCCTCTGCCGGCAAAATCTATGATGTTCAACCCTCAGTGACTTGGGGCGCCCAACTGTGTGTACAGGTACTTAACCAAACAGCCCCTTCTTGGGTCTTCAAGGAACAAAGGAGGTGCGAATTCTGCTAGGCCCGACGCCAGATGGAGTGTCTCCATCTCGGAGCTCTGGGTCCCAAGCTGGACTTGAAGCCCAGAGTCCTGGTGCGCCTCTGCTGGTCAGTGTGGTTAATGAGTTACTCTCTCGTTAATTCCTCTACACGTCGTCAGGGAGGCCAGATCCTTACCGGGCACCTCGGGCTGAAGGCATGAATTAGCATAGATTACTGGGCTTCCTGGGCTTGTGCTCCCAGCCCGACTCACCGGAAACCGCCTTTCTTCTTCTGCAGAGGTGGTGTGGGAGTGGCGTGGAACCCCCTAAGGTTCCGGTGCTTGAGGCAGAGGTACTGAATACTCCCGGTTTCCTTCAAAATTCAGGGACCCATTGTGTGAGCATGGGCCACCCAGAGCCCACCTCCAGTGTCAATCCTAGTGGTAGATGAGCAGTTTGCAAGAGGTTGGTGGCTAGCTGAGGATACCATGAAATTGGTGAAATGTCACTGCCTCAGGCAAGAGACTGGGGGCCCTTGTCTGAAGCTAGGTGCTCATTCTCTTAGGACATTTCCCTGGTACATCTTGATACAAAGAGGTGAAGCATTAACCAGTACCAACTGCACACGAAGCACCCAAGGACAAACATTTTGAATCCACACTATGGTGGTCCAATCAAATCACCCAGACAGGTCTGGATTCCTTGGCCCTCAAAGTCAGTAACTGTGATACCCTCAGCACGAATGCTAACTGGGTGGAGTTGGGGGTGGAGGCACCCACATTTGGTCCCACAGCCTGAGTGGAGCTTTTAGTGGTCCTGATTTGGAGTCAGAGTTTCAGGCCCCTTCTGGAAGCCCAGGCCCACCTTCTTGCCCTCCTCCAGAGGATTTGTGGTGTGACATATGGAGTATTTGTTTCTAGCTTCAGAAGCTCCCAGTTGCTCCTCTGAAGCTTGCTTGGCTAGGCACAGGCCAAGACTTCTGCCCTTCACTGTGTTTCAGACTTCAGAGACCTGAGCACTGAGAGGCCTCTATTTCCACAGCCCAGATAAGACCAGGGAGAGATTTCTCATTTGGGGAATGGTTCAGGCCTGAAAGAGCGTGGCCTTCAAATGCACACCATTTTCATAGTGCTGGATCTAATGCCTACAACTGTTGGGCTTTCCAAAAATGGGACAAAGGAGCAAGGCCATCTGGAAGAGAAGGTGAAAACGGGCCCCGACCAAAGACTGGCGGTTCAAGGTCTGAAGTCCAAGGCAAGGTCAGATTTATATCTCTGTGAGAGCAAAGCTGGGCTCATGCCTGTCTGCTGGGCTATCTGTGAGAGTGTGTTTGCACACGCTTCAATACTCTTGGGGGATTCAAAGTGAAGGGGCAGCAAAAATAGCTCCTGTGGTCTCCAAGTTAATCTGTCTGGAGCCTCAACAACACCAGAAACTCTTTTCTCAGCTCCCATTCTACCTAGGGGTCCCCGAGCTTCTACCTTCTCAGAGGTAGAACACTATACAAGAGACACACACAACCTAAACAACAGCAGGTGAGTAACAGGGAAAGGAACCCTTTATTGCCGGACTTCCTGGAGCATCCTAAGGCCCAGACCCTTGGTGGAATCAGATGGCTTTCACACTCCCTCTAGAGGACTTCACATCTCTCTTCTGCAGATCTACCTCTCCCGGGTCTCAGGCAACCTAGTCACCAAACACAGACATTTTATCCCTCTTAAGATAAATGGCTTCGACCTGGGAGTAATAGATTTAAAGGACGCCAGGAAAAATTTTTTATCATTAATTGTAAACGTGCAAAATACCTGCTGGTCCTCCACTTTAGAAGAATGTAATTGGCAAAGGGTGGGTGGGTGGGGGAGGCGGCTGATGAATAGATAATAGATCTTTAACCACCAATAAACAGAGAGCAGCGCCAGCAGGCTGGGGGATGTGATCATAATTATGCCACAGCGTGAGCCAATGGGGAATGGAGAAGTCGGCCCTAAAATCATCCCAAAACCGAAGGCGAGCTCGAAAATACGGACAGGGTCTAGGACCGGAGACGCGATCCTAAGTACCTAGTAGAGAAACCCAGGTTTGCAGAGCAACTCAGCCCGGGGACCACAGATGTCAGAATAAAAATAGGTACAGTAATAATAACAATAATGGTAACAATGTCAACGCTACTAACGACAACGGAGCGATAACACAATCACCACTTCAGCTTTTGACCCAAGACTCCTTTCCCAAATATCCTCACACATCCCAGAGAGAACTGTTTTGGGGAAGGAGGTGAGCGCCCTCGGGACAGGAAAAGCGGACACTCTAGGGTGAGCTGGAAGCCCACCGCAACCGAGCAGGCACAGCTGGCTTCTCAGGTTTCCACTTGCAACGAACTAGCCCGGTCAAAGACTGCAAACGCGTGGACCCTGGAACCTCGAAGCTACGCTTGGTTGGAGGGTTGGGAGGACCCCCCTCCTCGCACGCCTAGGAAACCTCGGGAGTTTTGCTGGGGGTGGGGATTGGTATGAGTGAAGCGGGTTAGCCCTCGCCCGGAACCAGTCCCCGCCCGCTTACCCTCTCCGGACTCCCGAAAACGTCTCAGTGACCCGGACTCCGGGCGGCAGAGGACAGCCGCAGCGGAGCTCAGGGCGTGAAGAAATCTGCGCATCCGTCGGTGCTTCAGTCCTAGCAGCTCCCGCCCGGCAGGCTTAGGATCCAGGGGTCTGCAGCAAAGGCAGCGCGGGCCAAAGACTCTGCGGGGACCTGGGTGCCCCGGAGGGAGTGGTGTTAGTACAGTAGGAGGCGGTGGCTGAGGGGGAGGAGGTGGGGAAAGAGGAGGAGGAAGAGGAGGAGGAGAAGAACGAGGAAGAGGAGGAGAAGAGGGAAGCGGAGGAGGCGAAAGAGGAGGAGAGAAGCCGCAGTGGGCGCCGAGGGAGCGAGGGAGCTGGCCCGGAGCGACGGGCGAAGGCACCGAGAGGTCCGCGGCCGAGCGGGCGGCTGGAGGCACGGCCGGGGCAGCGGCGCCGACTCCGTTCCACTCTGGGCCGGGATCCAGGCCTCCGGGTTCCCAGGCGCTCGCCTCCCTCTGACGCACTTTAAAGAGTCTCCCCCCTTCCACCTCAGGGCGAGTAATAGCGACCAATCATCAAGCCATTTACCAGGCTTCGGAGGAAGCTGTTTATGTGATCCCCGCACTAATTAGGCTCATGAACTAACAAATCGTTTGCACTACTAGTGAAGAAGCGAACACTTCCATGGATTGTCCTTGGACTTAGGGCGCCCTGCCCGCCTTTTGCAAAGGAGAGAAAACTTTTTTTGCCTCCCCCGAGAACCCCCCCTTCCCTGCCTCTAACTCCAATCTCCCCGCCACGCCATCTCGCTCAAAAAAATATTACCCCATTCCACGCCTGCAAATTCTTCTGGAAGGATTTTCCCCCCTCTCTCCAGGTTGGGCGCGTTTGGTGCAAGATTCTCGGGATCTTCGGCTTTGCCTCTCCTCCCCCTCCCCCTCCTTTCCTTTTTCCTTTCCTTTCTTTCTTCCTTCCTTCCCTTTCCTTCCCCCCACCCCCACCCCAAACAAACGAGTCCCCAATTCTCGTCGGTCCTCGCCGCGGGCAGCGGGCGGCGGAGGCAGCGCGCTGCGGTCGCCGGGAGCCGGGAGCCCAGGGCGCCCGCTCCTCGGCGCAGCATGTTTCAGCCGGCGCCCAAGCGCTGCTTCACCATCGAGTCGCTGGTGGCCAAGGACAGTCCCCTGCCTGCCTCGCGCTCTGAGGATCCCATCCGTCCCGCGGCGCTCAGCTACGCCAACTCCAGCCCAATAAATCCGTTCCTCAACGGCTTCCATTCGGCCGCCGCCGCCGCCGCCGCTGGCAGGGGCGTCTACTCCAACCCGGACTTGGTGTTCGCCGAGGCGGTCTCGCACCCACCCAACCCCGCCGTGCCGGTGCACCCGGTGCCGCCGCCGCACGCCCTGGCCGCCCACCCCTTGCCCTCCTCGCACTCGCCACACCCCCTCTTCGCCTCGCAGCAGCGGGACCCATCCACCTTCTATCCCTGGCTCATCCACCGCTACCGATATCTGGGTCATCGCTTCCAAGGTACGTGCCACGTCGCGGAACTGAAGCGCGCCGCTCCCGTCGCCTCCTTCACAGTGCCGGGCCTGCTCCGGGTGGGCGCTCCTTGAGGCCTGGGCGGAGGTCAGCCCGTGTGCTGGGTTCCGAAACCAGGCAGCGAGGGGCCCGCGTGGCGTGGGTCCCCAGTTTCTGAAGCCGAGGTTCCTTTGGGTTATTGACTTGTCCACCCCTTGACCTTTTGGAAAGGGGCGCGAACGAGGTGTACGGTGGTATGCGTCGGGCTCGGGCTGGCTGGAACAAGCTACTGCCGTGTCAAGAAGCCCCGAGCCCACCAAGTCCCCAGAACGCTGGTCCCCTGGACCGTGTCCCCAGCCAATCTGCCGTATCTCAGGGATTCAGACCGGGCCACTCGGGCCAGGTTCATCGGACTGTTGAACCCCGCGCTACACCCACTCCACGCCCCTCTAGCCCATATCAGAGACTTTTAGGACTTCAAACCCCTTACGGAGGCAAGGGGACCTTCGCAACCCCAGAGCAAACAGTTTCTTTCCTCCAGCTCTGGAGGCCCAGGGAGGGGCGGAACAGAGCAAGCGGACACCTCCGCAGCTCCACTAGCCCTCCTCTGGACCTGTTTAATCGGGGGACCCGCGGACGCGGCGGGAAGGCGGGTTCTGTTTGGTTGATTTTTTTTTCTTTAAAAAAAAAAAGAAAGAAAGAAAGAAAGAAAGAAAGAAATTAAGAAAAAGGAAAGGGAGCGCCTAATTGAAAGAAGGCCCAACAAGGGAAGATCTGTTTGGGTGTCTTCGTTTTTTCCGATTTATTAATTTTGTTTGCTTCTGGGTAGGGGTTGGTAGGGAAGGTAAAACTTTAGGAAAAGGGTTCGAATATTTAGTTTGTCGACTGGAGTCCGCAAAAGACCCACCTCAGGCGGGGCAGGATCAATACCAAGGGGCTTGTCCGTTCAATAACACTTTGCATTCCTGTCAGAGTCTAGAATCGGGTAAATGCCACCTTGTCATTATATAGAAAAATTTTAAAAAACCCAAAACGACAAACAAACAAACAAACAAAAACCCAAAGCAAAGTAATACACCTTTCTCCCTTAGTTCAGTACTGAATTTACCTCCGTTCCCGCTGGAACTACTGGCTGATTTTTCATTGTTTGGGTTTTTAGTGAATAGATTTACTTTCTTTAATAAGAGAAGCCAAAATAACCCAGCCTTGGTTTCAAAGTTTAGAGCTCAGCTTCCCCATTCTCGACCAGCCAAGTTCTTGGTCGCCCACCACTTCAGGAGCAGCCTGGATCTTCGTGGCCGCAGACTATCGCGGTCACCCTGAGGCTCGGTCCCTCCACTCTGCTTTCCTAGCTTTCTGCAACCTGGGACCCCCAGAACCGAGTACTCTGGAGGCAGATGCCTTAGAAACTGGGCGTGCTTGCCTCAAGATTTCTGTCCCGGCCCGGCTGCAACGACTCGGCCGGCCTCTGCTGTTTCCCAGCGAGATAGACAAAAATTCTTGAATAAATCTGCGAGAAAACTAAGGGTAGAGTCCCGCTGTTCTTTCCACGCTTAAGTCAAAATTTTAAATAGACTAGAAACTAGACAACCTATTCTTATTCTTATTTTTGGATGGTGGGCACCAATCTCCCGGCCCGGTCTCTGTCGTCCTGGCTTCTGCTCCCGACACCCGGCATGGAGGTACCCCGGCCTGCGGTGCCGGGGCAGTTGTGGAGCCTGCGGAGGTCTGGAGCCTGAGGATTGGCCCTTCAGAGACAACTGCTATTTGGGTACCGCCCAAGTTGGAGCCCCGGGGGCCAGGGTCCGGCGGTTCAGCCGGTGTCCTTTTCAAAAGCCTAGGGAGAGCCACCGGCCCGGCGGGTCTGGTGCTGCGGACTGGGCAGAGGCCCAGGGAGCTATGCTGGGCCAGCCCGGCTCCAGAGAAGCTGCGACTGGGGCCTGGGAGGCCCCCTAATGGTGCTTTGCTGTGCCCCCTACAGGGAACGACACAAGTCCCGAGAGTTTCCTTTTGCACAACGCTCTGGCCCGAAAGCCGAAGCGGATCCGAACCGCCTTCTCGCCATCCCAGCTTTTAAGGCTGGAGCACGCTTTCGAGAAGAATCATTACGTGGTGGGAGCCGAAAGGAAGCAGCTGGCGCACAGCCTCAGCCTTACGGAAACTCAGGTGAGTGTGGCCCATCGGTAGGATACCCCCGCCAGACCCAGGCACTCAGCGCCCAGCACACCCACTAGTGCGGACCTCGGTCGGAGAGGGCTCGTGGAGTTTATTTCCACGCCAGAGCTCCCGATGTGTAACTTTCCAGGTGCTCGGCGTTGTCGGGGCAGTGTGAGTTGCAGGGATGAGCTCGTTCTTCTGCTGTGCGGCTCAGGCCCGGGCAACTCCAAGCCAAGCCACCTCTGTACTTTTGCTGAGAGTTTTGGTGAGAATCACGGAGACTCAACCAGGGTCCGAGATGTTGCTAATTGCAGCAGGGTGTTCTGGTGACTGGGGTTCAAGGCCGCAGAGGGTAGGGAATTGTTCAGATACACGTTCTGAAAGACTCCAGGGTCCACTCGATTATTCTTCTTAAGGGAATGCCGGGCGTCAGAAGCCGGAGGCCAGGCAGGCTGGGCGATCTCGAAAACTAGACAGTTCACAGAGAGCTACCCTTAGGGGACCCGGCCTTCCTGCGCTGCAAGTGTTGGCGGCCGGGCTTGGGTTAGTCCCAAGGCGGGGAGGGGGTTTCGGTCTACAGTAGGCGCTACTGTACTCCCAACCGCGAGGCAGGGTCAAAGTTCCCAGTAAACAGTAACGTTTGGGGGCTGAATAAGTTGTACTGCTTTTTCTAAGAAGCTCAAATCGAGGTTTTTGTTTTTAAAAAGTTCTCCTCCACGGGGGCAAAATAATAATAATAATAATAATAATAATAATAATAATAATAATAATAATGCCTTGTGGGTTTGTGCAGGGTGGGCACAAGCCAAGGCCCAGCTGATTCCTCCTGGACAGGCGAGAGGCAGCGGTGGTCTTTGTCCGCCTCGCTGCCCACACTGCCTAGAGCCTTTGTGTGCGTGTCAAGCCGGGAGCACACCGACTTGCGCTTTGGGCAAACGCAGGGGTGTGGGGGGGTGAACTGTCCTCCCCCTTAATTAGCAAACTCAAAGCAAATTAAACTCAGCCTTGTTCCCGCTCTGCTTTTTCATGGGGGCACTTTGGGGACAGGGGCACAGGGGAGAACAACAGGACCCTGTGGCAGTCTTCAAGGTGGAGTGGAGAGGTATCTTAGGAGTCACTACTGCCTTCTTCATCTGTACCACACTGCGGGACACACTTGGGCAGTGCTGCTGAATGGAGAGGACCCACCGCCCAACTTCCCCAGGTGGCAGCTGACTTCAACCTTACTGCTTCCTAGCTCTGGGGAGGCCAGGCTGTCAGACCCTCTCCAGAGGGAAGAGTTGTGGCTGAGGTTGAAGCTGACCCTACCCTGTTTGGGGCCTGGGACGGCAGCGGAGAAAGAGGCTCTGTCCTTCTCCCGCATGAACAATTTCTTTTAGTGCCTTCCTAAGTCACACACAGTCTCCCTGAAGCTTTCACTTCGGCCAGGCCCCGAGTGAGGCCTGTAAAGTCGCTGTCCACTGGGCTTCCTCTGGGCCAGTCTGGTCCCTAGTCCTGCTCACCTGCCACTGTCCCCCAGCAGGGCCTGAGGACAGGCAAAGCCCTATCCTCTCCTCAGGGCCTTGGCCTGGCCGAGGAGGCGCTATATTTAGACAACTTCAGACTGGCAGAAAATAGAAAGCACATTAGGCCCCGCAGAGACTGAGGTCTTTTCTGCACTCACTGGATGGGCAAACAAGAAACATGCTTTATTTTTTCTTTACATTTCTCCTTACTTAATTATTTTAACAAAGTTTTGTATGCTTCTAAAAAAGCCTTTGCTCTCGGTGGGGATGTGCTCTTGGCGGGAGAAACAGCTCCGGCCCTTGGGGGAAAGGGTCCTTGCTACGTTTTGGGAGGAAAGGGGACTAGGCTTCTCACCTGGACTCCTGCTCTCAGGGAGGAGACCATGGAGCGATCAGTGCTTAGAGTATGTGTCTGGGGGTGCTGAGGCCAGGCCTGGGCAAGGGACAGGCCTCTGGCATTTGATAGGAAGGCACTGTGAAGCATCTAACGATGCCCGCTTGCCTCTCCCCACAGGTAAAAGTATGGTTTCAGAACCGGAGGACGAAATTCAAAAGGCAGAAGCTAGAGGAAGAAGGCTCAGATTCTCAACAGAAGAAAAAAGGGACACACCACATTAATCGGTGGAGAATTGCCACCAAGCAGGCGAGTCCGGAGGAAATAGATGTGACCTCAGATGATTAAACGTACAAACCTAATCCCACAGAAATGGACAGCATGGAGCAAAAGAGACAGGGAGAGGAGGGGAAGAAAGAAAAAAACCCTACAAAACCAAACCAAACTGCACACACATTCACCAGGAAAGGGGGAGAGGGCGTCAGAGCAGCCGCTCACAGCAGACTTTGGACAGCGAGGGCACTGGACCGGGCACTGCGCGCGGAGGAGATGGCTGAGGACTGAGGACGGAGGCCCCTTTATCAACATGCAACCCTCGTCTAAAGA